GGACGATAGAATTCTTATATCGGGATATGAGATTTTGGTCATATCGCACAGCCCTAGGCCATCTGTAATGTCTTCTTCAGAAGGACTCTAAAGACTCCGAACAATGATTCAGGCGTCTGAATTGGCAGAAATTAACAGTTTGAACAAACACTCTCATGAACTCATCAGCTTTAAAACTTGCGACACAATCCCAACTATTACATCCTCCTCCACCAGACTGGATGCCCCAGTGGGCTCCATTTTCGACATTTTTATTTTAAGTCATTTTTGATCCAAAAATAAAAAGCACAATGGATTTGAATGCCCATTAATACACAAACATAATGCTAGAAAATGGCTCTTTTTCATTTTTATGGGTAACATATGTCCCCTTTAATTGAAGTTTTAGCTGACAAAGCAGAAGCCAAAGGTTACTCAATATTTACAGCAATTCTGTCTGAATGCTTATTAGTCATCATATTTTACTAGTCAGACACCATCCTAACACACCCCCACCCAAGTGACTCAACAGTCTGCGATGTTCTGTGCAACAAACACTAAAAGATTACAAATAAATGTGCAGATAGGTCAAGACAAGCTGGATTTAATTCATGCAGAATGAGTTTTGTTTTATCGCTAAAATGAATAATTAGACTGATGCATGAGTACAGGTCAAACCAAATATTTACAACACTAGACGAGTGAAAGAACAAAAAGTGATAAGTTAGTTTATGAATGTGTCTCTCACCTTCTTATAGATGTACTGCAGCAGAGGTTTCCCCCTATCCTCCACCTCCTCGCTGTCCTCGCCATCCTCCCCCAGGTGGCTGTGTCTGAAGTAAGTCTGGGCGTAGACGTAGTAGAGGCCCGGCTGCGACACCACCAGCTCCCCATCCACCAGCTGGACGTCCTGGAGGAAGGCCAGCCCCTTACGGCCCTCCCACCATGAGATCTTCTGGCCATAAACGCGCCGCCCAGCAAAGACTGGAGCTGAGGAAGTAAGGCAAGTGGACAACATCAGATTCTGTTATGCAATCACATGTGATGACAGCTAAAACTTCATTTTAAGGGTGGTGGAGTTCAACAGTTTGTTTTAAAGACTCCTAATAATGAGGTCAGGATATGTGAAAGTAATCATTCTGAGCCAAAAACTCTCAGTTTTGGGAGATTGTTCTACTCATAAATCTCTATGACGTCAGTGAGAGGGGATATCCCTAATGCGGTCGTCTTAGGCCCAGAAGCCGCACCCAACTGCTGTCCAAATTTTGTTAATGAGGGGCATTCAAAAAGAAGAAAGTTGGCTTAAAGGGGCAAACAGCTTGTTTAAGACAGGGGGTCTGGCTTATTTTGAAGTGTAACTCATGCAAAGCTACGCTAGTAGAATAAATTGAAAGGTCACTCTGTGCATGCTGTTTAAATTTTGCTCTAACGCAATCTGCCTAGCGGCTACTTTCAGCAGCACTCACCTCCTCCTGCTCGCTCCAGTTTGGGGACAAAGCTGCCCGTGACGTGAGCGGCAACTTTGGGGCGAGAGAGAGAGAGCAGCACCTGGGAGACTTCATCTAACGTGAAGGAAAGGATGGAAAATACACCCAGAAAAGTCCGGTCAGAGGATAGATCAGTATTTAGTAGGTCATCGGTCAGATGTTTGCATGTTTCGGTTTTGCTTTCTCACCTTTCACTTCCGACGAATTCTGCCTCAGCCTCTGTCTCTGCCTCTGCTGAGACAATGACTGTAGGAAAGACAGTGGTAAAGTAAGATTTTTGAGTAATATGTCTGTAACATTAAACATAGTAATAACCTTTCGCCACTTTATCTGCCGAGCGAGGCCATCAGCTCATACCGCAGACCTGCCAAGCAGCGTCTTCTCTAACTTTGACCCTGTAAATGTGCTGACATCAGATCAGGAGACTTGCTCCTTTGAATAAAAATAGAAGTCTTCGTGTTAGTGTTGACAACGGATTTTTTCCTGGAAACGACCCGTCTCCAATTTCCTCGTGTTTTTCATTTCTTTTGCCAATTAATTGGAAACTACTGCCAAACCAACTAAAACCATTTTCTAAATAATGGCTCTGGACAGTTTAGCTCAGCTGCAGAAATGCGTGTTAAAAGATAAAAAGAAGAGGCTTTCTGAAAGAATCTGAGAAAAGAGATTTGATGATCAGAACATGACAACAGGTAACTTATTCAAATATTCCCAAAAAAGATTAGTTAATCGTCAGAGATTAGAGATTCATGCATACTTTAAAAACAAGATGTCACTGGATAGTTTCAGCATGGGAATACTAATAGCAGGTTGTCAGTCTGACAAACTGCTGGTTCATTGCTTTGGTTCAAACGGAAATATTTTCTCCTACAGGATCAATTGTCTTAAGATGTCTTTTTTATGCAAATAATGCTTCTTAGTGGAAAAATCCTGCCGATATTGGTGCTAGCACATTTGTAGAAACTAAGACTCATCACACCAGGCGGACAGGAGAGTCGTCTGCTGCTCATCTGCTTCAAGTTTTGACATGTTC